ATCTGTGCATATATGCATTATTTCGGTTTTCAACCGAATCTGTGCATATATGCATTATTTCGGTTTTCAACCGAATCTGTGCATATATGCATTATTTCGGTTTTCAACCGAATCTGTGCATATATGCATTATTTCGGTTTTCAACCGAATCTGTGCATATATGCATTATTTCGGTTTTCAACCGAATCTGTGCATATATGCATTATTTCGGTTTTCAACCGAATCTGTGCATATATGCATTATTTCGGTTTTCAACCGAATCTGTGCATATATGCATTATTTCGGTTTTCAACCGAATCTGTGCATATATGCATTATTTCGGTTTTCAACCGAATCTGTGCATATATGCATTATTTCGGTTTTCAACCGAATCTGTGCATATATGCATTATTTCGGTTTTCAACCGAATCTGTGCATATATGCATTATTTCGGTTTTCAACCGAATCTGTGCATATATGCATTATTTCGGTTTTCAACCGAATCTGTGCATATATGCATTATTTCGGTTTTCAACCGAATCTGTGCATATATGCATTATTTCGGTTTTCAACCGAATCTGTGCATATATGCATTATTTCGGTTTTCAAACGAAAGTGTGCATGTATGCATTACTTCAGGTTTCTCATATGCATTATTTCGGTTTTCAACCGAATCTGTGCATATATGCATTATTTCGGTTTTTTTCATATGCATTATTTCGGTTTTCAACCGAAACTGTGCATATATGCATTATTTCGGTTTTTTCGTATGCATTATTTCGGTTTTTTTTCATATGCATTATTTCGTATGCACAGTTTCCATATGCACAATTTCAGGGTGCCGGAAATAAGCTTAGAAGAAAAGCACTATCTCAAACCAATGCCCCCCTTGGCTGTTTTGGAGAGAGATGCCGTGCGTTCTCCATTCTATCCTCAGTGATACGCTTCCACGAATCCCTGAATTATGCCCAAGTAGTTGACGCTTTCATAAAGCGCAGGTGAATGCCACCAATTCAAAGAATTAAGACGAGTCCACTGCTCAGGTATTCTTTTATCAGATCCTATCCCTCATTAAATGCGTAACGTCATCGGCGTAGGCAACCAATCGACAATCGGCCCGATAGAGCATGACACTGTGGTCTGGCTCTGTTTATCATACGCACAGCCTCGCGCCGCATATAAAGGCTTCCTCAATCGATTTCACCAGGATTATGATTGTAAAATCCTGATCAATCAGCCTCCCCAAGGTTTTAAGCAAAACCGAGAGGAGACTGACCGGCTTGAAATCCTTAGAAAATATGTGAGAGTCTTGCAAATTTAGCTAAATTCTAAGGCGTCAAGAGAGTTGTGCAGACAGGAAAACTCGATTTGAGCAGACTTCTATAACACACGCTCCTTTGAATCTATATTTCAAGGCACAAGATCCCTGCAGGCGACGGATTTGGGGATCAGTTTCTAAAATAACTTTGTGATTTTGAAATTTTACGACCAACAAACTAAAATAATATTTTTAACAAGTCTCCATTTGTTGACGATTTAAAATGAAACCAACCAACTGCCAATTGTATGTACATATGTACATATGTACATATGTATATGCATATAGGTATGCCACCCTTACAATAACTTTGTAACTAACACATTAAACCATAAACTTGAAGTCTAAATAACAGCCACCATACAATCAAAGAGATCAATATTAAAAAAAATCAAATAGCATAGATATTTGTTGCAATACCTACATAGCAGCTGGAAATAGCATTAACAGCAGCAGCTACAATACTACGAACAACACTAATTTAAGTGGCAGCAACCTAAATGCGAATTGGAGTGAATTGAACTGAAATGTCATTGTGATCACAGTTGATCAACGCCGCCACCAACGATCGTTTTACATGATCGATTTTTCTGCTATGACAGCGCAATCCAACATAAAGCATTTGTTGTTTATTCATTTAAATGTAGGTTATAATGGCAAATGCCAGTTGTACGTATGTATGTACATAGTTGCTGTTGCTCACATTGCGGTGGCGGCTGACAACTTTCAGTTTGCACAAATATACATATGTACAAGATTTGAGTTCAATGCAGTGATTTGCTTTTATTTGTTTTGTGATTATTCTGACATTTATTGCTACACGTTTGCTTTGCTTGTGTGTGTTTTTTTTTATATTGCGAAATTAGCGAAAAATTCAATTAGAAAGTTTTTTTGTGTTCGAAAAAAAAATTTATAAATCAACAAATATGTAAATTTAAATACACAGCTTTGTATGTTCTCTACATTTGTTAGCTTATTTGATGCTGTTGTTTTAAAGAAAGAGCTGTGATCTCGCTAAACTGTAAATTTTAAGCTAACAAAACGCTCTGTATAAAATCACTTTTTGTCCTCAAATAAAAGCGCTTTTGTTATTACCGAAAATTTAGAAACGAAAACGCCTTAATATGTATAACGCATTGTAATTATGAAACAAATCTGAATCACTTACGACATTGTTTTAAACCCGTAGCTACCCGAGTACAAATTTTGGGCTATGCCAGGCGTTCATCTAAAAAACTGCATCAATGGTGACGTTGGTCTCTGGTACCAAGCTAAATTACTAAATTTTTTTTACAGTAAAGTACTTAAATTTTTGTTTGCTTCTGATTTTTATTAGTAGCATATGAGCAAAACTCACGAGTTGTTACATTTTTCGATAAAAACGTGTTTTTAGAAAATGCATAATGCATAAGTTTTGTATATAAAGAACAAGATTCCAATGCGAAATTGTATTTAAATGAAAATTTAAAAGAGATATACTAAACACAAGTAAGAAAGCCTAAGTTCGGGCGGAGCCGAACAGCGCAAGTATTAAATATATGTTTTTCACCTTTCCGAAAGCTACCGCTTTGGTAGCCGAAATATTGAAGTTTCAAGCATTTCTGAAATGTACCGTTATATGAAAAGCGGCCGTAATTTTAGTCCGATTTCAACAATTTTCAACGCTTTGCTTTTATGTGGCAAGCACAACAATCATACCGAGTTTGGTACAAACGGTTACCAAAATACATATATGTGATCATAAGTGGGCGCTGCCACGACCATTTTGCAAAATTTTATCATTAACGTATTTCTTGGTAAAGAATTGTTGCAAGCATCAATTTTGAATAAATTAGCTTCAATATAAGATTTTGTATTTCTCTAAATTACCGTTATATAGGATGTGGGCGTGGTTATTGTCCGATTTTAAAAAGTTTCGGCGGTTTTTTATGCTGTACCAAGGCCAACAACTGTGCCAAGTTTGGAAGAAATTGGTGCAGCGGTTACCAAGATATACACATGTAACCATAAGTGGGCGTGGCTACGCCCATTTTCCAAAAATTTATAATATTCTTATTTTTCGTCTAAAACTTATTATAAATATCAATTTTGAGTGAATAATCTCCAGTAGTTACTAAAATATCGCAGTTTTCGTATTTCTGAAAATTACCGTTATATGGGAAGTAGGCGTGGTTATTGAGCGATTTTAAAAATTTTCGGCCATTTGGTATGTTATGCGAAGGCCAACAACTGTGCCAAGTTTGGAAGAAATTGGTGCAGCGGTTACCAAGATATACACATGTAACCATAAGTGGGCGTGGCTACGCCCATTTTCCAAAAATTTATAATATTCTTATTTTTCGTCTAAAAATTATTGTAAATATCAATTTTGAGTGAATTATCTTCAGTAGTTACTAAAATATCGCAGTTTTCGTATTTCTGGAAATTACCGTTATATGGGAAGTGGGCGTGGTTAAAGTCCGATTTCGCCCATTTTCAATACCAACCTACCTTGGATTAAGGGAAACCTACATACCAAATTTCGTTGAGATATCTCAATTTTTGCTCGAGTTATCGTGTACACGGACAGACGGACAGACGGACAGACGGACAGACGGACGGACGGACGGACAGACAGACATGGCTTAATCGATTTCTTTTTTCATCCTGATCATTTATGTATACATTTGTCTATATCTATCTCGATTCGTTTTGGCTGTTACAAACAACCGTTATGTGAACAAAATTAATATACCCTTGTGCACAAGTGCGCTCGGGTATAAAAATAGTTCTTCAGCGCTATTTACTAAATAGCTGCTCATTTTTAAAACACACAGTATTTATTTAGTAGATACAGACAACGAAGGGCACAAGTGTGAGCCAATTAAAGCAGCGATCAACAATTCGCTGGAGGTCAAACGTTCAAATAATTAAAGATTGTGCCAATTGAGATGGACACACTATACATAGTTAGTAGAAGCATTACAGATAGTTACAAAATTTCAACATTCAGAACAAATACACTAGACAAAAAATAGCGAGTGAGAGAGGGAGATGGGAGCTCAATATAAATTGGCTATGAGGGCGAGATTTAGAGCAGCGCTGCTAAGATTGAGTGATTGAGAAAGCCAGACTTATCGCTCATTAAGCTCCCTTTTGAGACCTTCAAAATTTTCAGAAATATGACGTCACTTAGAGTGCTTCAAATGAGAAAAGTAAATTTAGGTGTGTACAACAAAGCGTAGCATGATGATAAAGATAGTAACGGGTGATTTTTTAAGAGCTTGATAACTTTTTTTTTAAAAAAAACGCATAAAATTTGCAAAATCTCATCGGTTCTTTATTTGAAACGTTAGATTGGTCCATGACATTTACTTTTTGAAGATAATTTCATTTAAATGTTGACCGCGGCTGCGTCTTAGGTGGTCCATTCGGAAAGTCCAATTTTGGGCAACTTTTTCGAGCATTTCGGCCGGAATAGCCCGAATTTCTTCGGAAATGTTGTCTTCCAAAGCTGGAATAGTTGCTGGCTTATTTCTGTAGACTTTAGACTTGACGTAGCCCCACAAAAAATAGTCTAAAGGCGTCAAATCGCATGATCTTGGTGGCCAACTTACCGGTCCATTTCTTGAGATGANGAATCGATATAAAGGTTCTATGGATAAAAGTTTTATTCCAAATATATTTCATACACTATTTTGAGTAAAAATAATTTGTTCTTTATACTAACTATTCGAGATACATACGTACGTACAAACAGAGAAGGCACTGTGCCGCGCTACTGATTAATTAATAATTACAAGCTATTACGAGTTATTCAGTAAATTTTGAACAAGAATTATTGCCACTTGTCTCAGCACCACCATAGCCTGGCCAAAAGCAATGAGCCCACAGTGGCAGTTGCCCATGGCCGTAAGCTGCCCGCTCCATTGCATCCATCTGTACTGCAGGTGTAGATACACGAACGATAATCCATACGATCACCTTTGTTTTTCACATAATCACAATAGTTGCCCAAATCCTTGGAGGAGCAGAAACGTTTCGCGCCAATGCCACCCTCGTAGCGACCTATATGCTTAATGCAAAACTTGGCGTCGTGAACATTGGAACAATTCTGCGGCTGTATGTCTGGATCGTCGAAACGTTCGAACCACTCCCCACACTGGAACGGTGTTTTCGTATCGGATGCATCGCATACGTAACAGTTGATGGCCAAAGCTGTGCCACTCAATGCCGCGCAGATTACAAGCATTTGGATGATAATTTTACTCGTATGCCACATTTCTTTTTTGTTGTTTCTTCTTTTGATTTTTTTGGTTAATACTAAAACAAACAAAAAATGTTTAGGCACGTTGCGGTAACAAAGCAAATTTATTACGATACTTCAATAATAAACAAAACTACGACGACTTAGGGAGCAACACACAACTCGCGCAAATGACAGACAGACACAACGACGGGCACGCTGGCTGATGGTTGATCGAAACGTCAACAGCCAGGCGAAACGTCAAAACCAAATGGAGCAGCTTAAAGCAAAACAGGCAAACGTCAAGTAGATACTGACATTTTTGTCCGTTTGCTTTGCATCATCGTACGTATCTATTTTGGCCAGTAAACTCAGCGACTCCCTGCTTGGCTTGTTCTCCCTTGGCTTAACTTCACTTCGCTTACAGCAAATCCACTCAGCTGTGTTTGTGTGTGGGTTTTACTTGGGGTTTTCTCTCAGACACTTATTCACACGCATACACATAGCCAAGTTTGTCGTTTTTAAACCTGGCTCTCACTTTGGGTCTCACAACAAAGTCACTCATTGGCAATATTGCTCTGGAGTTTGAGTTTAGCTATTCATCTATTGTGTGTACTACCACAAACATGCTGTTACTAACTTCTAGTATTGAATGTGTAGAACAAATGCTTATTCAAGCTCTGCTAGAAGTAGAGTTCATAACTGGCCAAAGGTAATTCAGTTAAAATAAATTCATTTGGATGCACGAGGTGTACGTTAATTCCCACACCTTTAGCTATATATCGAGTTCGGACTATATGGCGGAAATTCTTACACCTGTGTTGCAAACACAATTTAGAAGTAATCGCTGCTAGCAGGCAGTTTACAGTATCTGATTTTTTTTTACAATGAACATTTCTGCTTGAAAAACAAGAGGTCTGGTCGGGTCTCTGCCCTCTATCCCCAGTAAGGCACTGGATACCATATTGAATCTTCTTCCTACCGATCTTTGGCTAGATAACAAGCCAGCTGAAACGCAACCAGACTGAATTCCGCTCAACCATGGAGAGTCCTTATGCTCGATCACTCAAAAATTCTGGGCACCATTCCAGCATGCCTACATAAGCTAAATTACATCAAAAATAGGTTTTCTAACAGAACTGCAGACAGAAGCGACTGGGTAAACTACTCTGACTTAGATTTAGGGTCTACCACTGCCATCTTTATGGACGATTTGAAGCTCGACAATAAAATTGGAAGTGGAGTTTAATCTAAAGACCTCTCGCCAAACCTTAGCATGCGGCTCCCTGAGAACTGCAGCGTTTTTCGCCCTACGACCTACGCTCTGCGCACTATGCAGGCATCCCCCCGTCTTCGTTTAAGAACAGACTGAGTCCTATTTCGATTGAATTGGCGAACGAACGATGGGAAAAAGAACCAACTTGTTCCCTTACTAAACAGATCTTGCCAAATATTAATGAGAAAAGATCCAAAACTTGTATACAAATCGATCGTCCCGTTATTAGCATAGTTGTCGGTATTAGAGATGGGCACGGGACTAAATATTTAATCTCGATCCCGCCCAACATGAAATTCAATTTTTAAGTCCCGAACCCGCCCATCCCGACTTTTTTCAGATTTGTACCGCGGGTCCCGTGGGTCCCGATATCACTACCACTAAGATTAATTTTAAGTAATAATGAAAGATCTGGTTTTTTTTTGCTTCGCTGCACGTTTTGCCGCAATAAAACATAAAAAGGTGCTCATTTCATAAAACGTTTTTAACGAAGATTTTCTGAAGTTGTGTGGGTTGCGGGTTTTATAGGGAGTATCGGGAAAGGATTTTGGTCCCGTCCCGCCCGCAAACTTTTCAATGACCTTCCCGATACCACCCATCCCAGGCATTTTGAAATCAATACCGTGGGTCCCACGGGTCTCGATATCCCGCGCCCATCTCTAGTCGATATCCTTGCAGGACGCTGCCGAATGGAAGCGCATGCTAGGCGAATAAGTTATGCCGCTAACGATTTGACATGCCTGCTGGGACGAAGAAGAGGTAAAGAATGTAGAGCACTATCCCTGCCACTACCCTACTCTGACAAATTCGCGACTTTCAACGATGTGTTAAGGTTACACGATGGTACTTTCATATGGGAAACTAAGGGAATGGAAAAAGAGATCGTTAATAGTGGCATCACAATGAAGTAGAAAACCTCAGACTAAGTAATGTAGAGCCACGCCCCTACACTCGACCAAAAACGAGAGGAGAACAGAAATAATATGCATTACCGGGTGAACTATTCAAAACTGGCGACGAAAAGCTGGTAGGCGCTCATGTACTAGCTATTGAGCGCAATTTGGTAAGATGCAAACATACTTATGTATGTACATGCGGAAGAATGAAACCTCTGTGTATTTTCCTGACCTACAGGAAGAGCGATCCTGCTATTTGCGAAAATTGCCGCGGCATAAGACTTCGTATGCACCTCATAAAATTTAAATTTTTAACAAATTTTTTATTTGGTTTTTTCGTAAATATACTTATTTATTTATGTATAAGAGACTAGTTTTGGAATAGAATCAGAAGTTGCTATTATTATTTTTGGCTTAAAACTAGGTGCATTTGTACGTAAATATATTTATGTATAAAATAAAATATATATACATACCTTCATATGCATGTATTTTTTTTTAGAATGTTGTATGCACATATCTGCTGGTAGAACAACTGCTGCTTACACAAGTGTTTGCAATATTTGGCAACTTGTTGCTGCCACTTGTAGCCACAACGTTTATGAGTGTCTACGTCTATCCATATTCATCTGTGTATGGTTTTTTTTTATTAGTATGCGTAATCGTAAAGCCAATGCAAGGAAAAGGCCTAAAAGCCAAAAGACTCCATTTTTCGCCTCTTACTAAATATGTAATTCTTTCCGTCTGTTTATTTATTTTCCTACCCACATACGTAACTACAATGACATTCTTGCTCAAACAAAACAAACAGGGCAACCAAGCCAACTCGGCAAAAGACAACTGTTGAATGTTAATAGTTTTTGTCTACATCGGCCCATTTGCTTAGGTGTACATACATGCATATTGGTATTTATTGATTTTACTTTAGCGTTGGCCTGATAGTTACTAGAAATGTTGCTCCTACATACCATAAATTGTTTCGAAAACAGACAACGAGTAGTTAAAACACGCGCGACTGTGTTGGTTGCGTACAAAAATTGCTGCAAGATCAGAAAAAGTTTCAACAGATGCCCCATTAACGTGAAATTATTTACAAAAAAAAATTTATCGAGGGCTTATATTCAATATTATCTATCTGCAGTTTTTACAAAAATAAGATTCCTATACAAAAATCGACCTTAGACCTAACTGTCACCGATGATGTCAATGTTGACCTTGTAAATATATCGCTTGTCAGAAGAATTAACGGTTGAATTTAAAAATTAAGATTGCAACCGGCGAAGCCAGTTAAGTCGCAGATGAGTCCTAAGATCAGAAAGTAGTTTTCGTATAAACTGCAGGTAGGCCATATTGAATATAAGCCCTCGATATGTATGTTTGCTGGCAAATATTAATAACACATTTTTCTGGTTTCAGCATGTTTTACTTTAACTTTATATGAATTTAGGTGTATATGTACATAAATATATGTGTATGCACTTGCTGTTTGTACACTGAGAAAAAATAGTAATTTAGATTTGCATAATTAATTTATTAAACGCCTAAAATCGCCAACCTGGAAAAACTGAGAAACTAATTTTCTATATGAAATCCAGACTTTCAGAAAAACTTTGGTTTCATCAATTCCCCAGCCGACTGCCAAACTTGGAACAATTTCGGACTATGCAAGAAATCTTTTCAGCAGGGTGCGAAAATAAACCATTAAATAACCACATTCTTAGACCACCGCAAAGTCGTTATTGTTTGTTTTTTAAAATCACGAATAATCGGTAAATTTTTGTTTTAAGACTGTAGTTATAATCCTTTATGATCTAAAAATAACGGTTATGGGATGATCGAAAAAATAAAATTCATAAAATAATGATTAAATTTGATCGGGAAAATATAAAATGGTAGCTCTGAGTATTGTGCAATATTTAAGTATAGTATTATGGGGTCGGCCGCTGTGGTATAGTGGTAAGCAGTGCGCGCTTCCACTCCGCAACGCCTGGGTTCAAGCCCTGGTCAAGCAACATCGCAAAAAATATAGAAAAAGGTTACTTAACAGCGGTCGTTCCTCGGCAGGCAATGGCAAACCTCCGAGTGTATTTCTGCCATGAAAAACAGCTTCTCATAAAAACACAATCGCCGTACATACAGTCGGCGTAAAACTGTAGGTCCCTCCGCTTTGTGTGCCAACATCAAGGCGCACGCCACAAATCGGAGGAGACGCTCGGCCAAACACTAACATATGTGTAAGCGCCAATATATATATATATATATATATATTATAGGGTGCACTCCACAATAATTTTAATTATGAATTTTTTTACACCGAAGTTGAGTAAAATTACTACATAAGAAATTTACAAATTTTGTGATTTGTTTTTTAATTTTTTTGAGTATGCAGTTTTATAGCCCATTTAATTTTGTTAAAATAAAATGCAATTTTTAAGCCACAGCTAAATTGCGTTGATTTTTAATACTTTTTATGCTGACGGCTTTTTGCACTTATGTATTTCTTATGGAAGAAAATGCGCAAAACCGTTCTCAAAGAAAATTAACAAAAAAAAACCTGAACGCCAGTTTTGAAATCATTTAAAACTTGCACTTTATTATACTTAAATTTAATGGGCTACGATACTGCATACTCAATTTGTAAATGTGTAATGTCCTCATTTTCCTCAATTTCGGTGTAAAAAAAAAATTCATAGCTCAACACTTAAATATTGCGCAATACTCAGAGCTACCATTGTGATTTTTTTTTCAATATTTTTTGAGATTGCATATTTTCAAAAACTGTTTTTTTTTTTATCAAAAAATTTGTATGTGAAAATTTTTTCAAGAAAAAAATTTAAAAATATTGATTTTCATAGAGAGTTTTGATGTGTGTATGTGTAAGTTTTTCCTCGCCCTTTCTCAAGATATTTGGAAAATTATTAAATCGATTTGTTTTTGTTTTTGCGCTGCTCAAATTTCATATATATTTATTATTTATTTTTATGCATCAACCCTAAAAATTTAAAAAAAATCAGGCACATGAAGTATGAACCCCGTCCGTTTTGGTATGGAACACCCCATATACAAGAATTGCTCGTTTAATGTAATAAGATTGGATTACTTAGGACCTTTTCACAGAGCAGCGCTAACTCACATTCGAAATAACTACTCATTTTCAACACATGGTAAGTAAACGTGGATCCCTCACTCATTGTTAGCAATATATGTGGCTATTTAAGGGTC